TGGGCGGCTTTGCTCGGGTGTCCCTGGTCTGCTGGGGGGGTCCAGCGGCTTTGCTGGACCCCCCCCAGCAGACCAGGGAGACCGGGAGAAGCTTTTCTCGCCCCGGAGGACACGGGTGGCGACCCGCCGCCCGTGAGCTCTGGGGCGAGAAAAGCCCCGTTCGTAAGTGCGGATCCGACATAAGTCGGATCCGCGTAAGTCGGGGACTGCCTGTATTGAGATGTTCAACAGGCTACTCCTACCCAGCACACTACATAGCAGATAGTATCTTTACCCCAACCAGACAGACAAGCTCCTTTAGGTTAATTTCACTAACTTTAGAAACACTCAAAGAAAAACACACTTTTGATTTGCCATGTCATATTCTATACATTTATATTTTGAATCCATGATTCATCATTAGGCAAGTGGTAATTAACTATGTTATATGGTAATCAACTGCCTAAGGAAAAGCATCTGTCCTTGTTCCATATTTAAAGACAAACTTACAGCCACTCCCACAATTAACTATGAAAATATATGAGTCTGAAAAGTATATCATGACCCCTGTGTAGTAAGAGCAGCAAGGTTCAAAGGGAGACTGTTGCAGGTCCTCCATCATTCCAAGGTAAGCAAGGGAAGTGGTTTCTCAGCATGCCATGCTAAGAAAGCTGCAATTCTTTGCCTGTGTAACTTGGTTCATTAATTAAAAATTCAGTCAAGTAATGGGAAGGTGGGTGGTTCAGGAACAGTTCTCTGCCATTGCAGTGGATCTAGGCCAGCGGTTTTCCAACTTTTTTTTCTCATGACCCAGTTGAAGAACATTGCTGATGCTGCGAACCAACATAATTTGACTAGTGTGGGGGCTCTGGGGTGGGGCTGAGGATGGGAGTTTTGGGGTGTAGGAGGCGGAGGTTAGAGCTGGAGTGGGGAGGGGGGTTGAGCTCAAGCAGCTCCTGGTCAGCGGTGCAGCAGGGGGGCTAAGGCAGAATTCCTGCCTCTCCTGGCACCGCAGACCACGCTGCGCCCCAGAAGCAGCCAGCAGCAGGGTCCCAGCCAATGGGAGTGCAGAGCTAGTGCTCAGGGCAGGGGCAGTGCGCAAGAGCCCCACGTGCTCTCCTTCCCAACACCACCCAGGAGCCAGGCTGGCTGCTGGCCACTTCTGGGATGCAGTGCAGTCTGCAGTGCCAGCTGTCTCAGCACCCCCACTGGTCAGCTTATCACCCTGCAGCCATGAGCCCCCGGACCTGACATCGCCACCCATACAGAGTTTGAAAACCACTGGTCTAGTATTTGAGAATCTACTAACGAGGAAGGTAAAAGGAGGAAGAACACTTACAGTGCCTGCCCTGTCCACCAGCACTCGATAAGCCCAGGGCAGTCACAAAATAAACCCATTCCCAAGAGGCAATCCCAAACTGGTTTAAGAAACAATGTAATGAACACAATATTGCAACGCAGCCGATGTAATAAAAGAGGCTTTTAAAATAGTTCTCTCTCAGCCTTCTGACTGGGACTTTTTTAAAATGCACATTTACCTTTTGGCACAGAATTCTGCAATCTGCATTCCTCTGTTACAGGCCAGGAAGCAATGATTTATGCCTCTTCTAATATCAAAACAAAGCTCGCACAAACTATACCATTCACACCACCCGAAATCACTGCATCGTTCCAGCTGGGCTGGCAAGAAAGCGAACACTCACAGGCTTGAGATGGATGACAGAGCTGTTTGACATCACAGTGTGGTCCCCTTCCATCATGTCTAGCTCACTCTTGTCATCAGAGGCATCTGGAAGACTGTTAACACTACTGCTTTGGCTACTGGCACTGATGGACATACTAGGAATGGACTGGTTGCTTCCGACACTATTCACTGTTCCAGTCCTGCCAACGCCATGGTCTTGCTCCTAAGGGGAGGAAAAACACTTGATTATCATCTGTAAAATAAAACAGTCCATCACAAAAGCAAAATTATCAATCCTGCCAAACGATGTGTTAATAAGACTCCTTTATACTGGCACCCCCAGGCCAATTCATTGCAGCTGCCCACTATTCTATATGTGCTACTAAACATTTCTGCTGAGAGAATGGTGGGGCAAGAAGAGATCAGCTGCAGCAGTAACCTGATGGACGTCCGACAGGAGCACACTCAGAAGTTACACTCAACGAGGAATTAGCAATGCTGCGTCCCCGGTACCTGTTCCGCCAGCGGTACTAACTTCCCCAAAGAGCAATGCCAGCACGTGCACAATTTACTTGTGTCCCCTTTGCACAAGGAGAGACTTGGACGTGGGCTCTGGCTTGTGGTTTTACCATGTGCTCCAGAATCCAGGCTTTCCTCTTTTTTTATTTTTATTTTGAGGTGAGTATTTGTACTCCATGTCAGGTGAAAAACCTTCAAGACATGAACAAGAGGTAACTGGTATTGCTAGTGGCATTGCTTAGGTTGCAATTAGCTCTTCTTTCAGGGACCAGGGAAGGAGCACCAGCACAGACGGCTCAAGAAGGCCAGGAAGGCCAAGTTTCGCACCAGGGAAACTTTCTCTGGTTTCAAGTTCAGGTGCAAATCCTGGCCTTCCTTAATTATGCTAGGAGTTTTCCCTGTTGTGGCTGGCTGGAAGCAGGACCAGGGAGTTTTCCCTGTTGTGGCGGGCTGGAATCAGGACTAGCACCAAGGATGGACAAGACCAGGGGCTGCAGCCAATCTGATGCAGTAACTGAGCGACAGGAAGAGCCTCCATTCATCTTAATGAGTGCATATTAAATCCTAGTGATCATTACTAACATCTCCATGCTAGAGCCATCATTTCTCCTATTTCTTCTTACCTCCTCCTCTTCCTGGGCTTCTACTGCAGGCCCATTGTGCGCCTCCTGGAAAAGGAGTTTCTTCATTTTGCGATACTGCAGATTGTCCAGTTCTCTCACTGCATCCTTTGTTCTCTGAATCAGGTCTATTAACACTGTTTCTGGCCGCTCCCGAAGAACGAACATGTGCTGCAGAACACACACACACACGCAGAAAGGTGACTACTATTTCATATCTCCAGTTCATCTACTTGCCAGAAACTAGATTCATGAATTCTGGTCATGTTTCATCTTCCACCCTAAGTAGGCAGAATAAGAATGCAGCCCTCCTAGCTCAGGCTGGGGTCTTATCAGATTTCAGAACCTACAGGAGGTGAACCTGGTCAGTGCCTTGATGGGAAACCTCCAAGGCAAGAGAGACGTTGCAGGAAATAGGAATCTTCCTTCAGAGACCTTGCCCAGACTAAGGGAAAGGATGTTTGATTTTAAATAGCACGTAAACCGTCTTCTCTGGGGGCCAACATCTGCTGTCAGTCAGCTACAGCCAGCTAACATGTTTAATAAAGGTGTTCCGTGCTGTCTCTACTGGTTGCTAACTGCCATTTGAAATCTTAACTAACTTTTGTATTTTTCAACAGCCTTTTTCCTATTCCAGGCAATGCCTAAACCAGGCATGTATCTAAAACACAGCACATGGCTCTTTCTGATGAGACCTAAAACAGAGGTTGTGAACATTTAGGGTCCCCTCTCACTTCCAATCCTATCTCTGCTGTGCTGCTCAAATGATCAGAAAGAGTTGCTGCATTGCCTTGCACTGATGGTTGCCTTTTGCCAGAAGGTGAACGGAAGCTAATCCGTGTCTCTGAAAGGGTTTACCAGCCTTCTGGACAAACTCTGCCATATAACCGCGAGTCCTCATTGGCCACCCCAGGAGTTTTGTTATTTTGGAAAGCAGAACTGCAATTTCCAGCATTTGTCGTATTTCCTACATGCCCCTATTAATTGGCATAGGGCTGTTTGCTCCTATAGATAGGGAGGCGAGTTAGTCTCAACATTCAGGAACATTTATTTTTCAGCACAATCCTCTAATTAAAAAAAGCGTGTGGCTGAAAATAAAACTGACCTTTAGAATTCTGACCTAGTATGCTACACATCCACTGAGCCCTTCAGTGGAGACTTCTGACATGGTACCTTACACTCCCACTAAAGCCATCAGTGAAGAATTGTGTTTACTTTTTGAATGGAAAATCCTAGCAAATGTAAAGAAAGGAAAAACCTCATGATCACTTAAGTGTTAAAACATACAAAAAGGTGACCATTTAAACCTGCGCTGTCAGCAGTCATGTGCTGACAGAGCAAGAACCTGGAACATAAGTATTTAATAGAAAGCATCATTACAGTAAAAGATGAAAAAAATCAATGCCATAGCTTTCACAAGGAGAATGAAAAATTAACCAAAACAAAATCCTGAATGCCACTTGATGCTGTCAAGGGAGTCCATAGAAGTCAAATTTGTGTAAGGCCATATCAATATCTGCTAATAGATTGTCAAATTTAAGTACATTCACTTAGGCATGTGTCAGCTCTTTGCAACCATTTAAAGACACTTACTGTGTCCCACCGCTAGAGAAAAGGAAATCAAATATACATAGCACATGGGAGAGGGGAGACGGAGAAGAGGCAAGGCAACTTAAAACTGCAAACAAGTGCCATGCATCAGTGTCAAGAAAAGCAGTATGTGGGAGAAAAACCCATTAGATCATACTGCAGGGAACATTTCAAGTTTACGTATAAAGCACAGAGGAGCTGGAAAACGTAAAAGCCTGCAGGGGTGTATCTAGCAAAGGAGAATGAGGAGAAGCAAAGAACGATATTTTATTAACCAACGCACGATATCTCTGTTTAGCCATAGTAACCAAAAGGACACACTGAGCTTTAGGAACCGAAACCCTCTATACGATGCAGTGGTCACTATAAGGCTCTGGGAGAACATTCCATTACGAACGATGAAGACGGCTGGATGCTAAATCACTAGCTAACTGCTTCAGACACTGAGTAGTAAAGTTAGGAATGCTAACAAAAAAAAGAGTGCACTCCACAAAGCCAGTTAGTTCTTTAGCTTGAGGGTATTAGGAATAACAGACAAAGCATTGTTTAACCTTGGTCTAGAAGAGCAGCAGGTGAGAAAGGAAAAGTGCTGTACAGAATTATGCTTCATACAATCCTTTCTTTTTAACACCATCTGAAGAAAAAAAAAAAGAGGACAAGAAAGCCAACCTTCAGAAGTTCCTCTGATGTAGGCCTGTCTTGAGGAATTTTCTGGAGGCAAGAATCTACAAAGTTTCGAAAATAATCAGACCTAATGCAAGAGAGGAAAAAAACGTTAACTGAGTTAACTGCTGACTACATTTTAAACACCTCATTAAGGAACTGAGGTATTCACATCTGCAGCAAAACCAACCCACCTGCCCCCACAAGCCCTTAACACTTGACACAATATATCTAAGTCAAGCCAGATGCCATGGCTCTTATGTACAGTAAACGTCCGATAATCCGGCACCTTTAGGACCCAGGGGGTGCTGGATTATCAAATATGCCGGACTATTGGAAAGGGGGGGCTATCAGGGGTCTGGTGTGGA